AGATTAGGGATAAGTTTTTGGTATCACATGTCTAGCAAAAAAACATTGTTCCTTCATGTTCATTGTTCACTAATTGAAATCACTATGGTTAGTAGATGAGCTTTGAAAATTATACATTTTCTTTATAAAACATTGGTTATGTTCTAGGAGCAGGAATGTAATGAATTGTTAAATAAATATGTAATTTGATTGAAATTTCAATATAAATCCTAGCTGCCAAGAAATAGGAGGAAGTGTTCTTGGAATCTATATTGACCAGTGATTGAAGTGGGTGCATGATTTTCCCCTCATCATAGTAAAATAGTATCTTCCATACAAAGAACAAGACACATATAAAACTAATAATAGTATAAAATAATTACAACCAAYAAATCCATATGCACATTGGAGACAGGAAGGTCTACAAAGCAATTTCAACAAATTCTCATAGCAAATGCAGATACGGTACTCCATAGATAAGCACAATAACAGTTAATCAACCAAAAACATAAAGAAGCCCTAAACAAATCATCATTCATCAAATAAAAACCCTAATMTTGAAGCYCTTGGATATAAACGAATGGTACACATACCTGAAATTGAAGATGGAGACTRATTACGCTGAGGAGACGACAAACAGAGGAAACAGTGAGAAAATGAGGAATGCGAGATTGATGAGGAATGMGATTGAAAYAGATTGAGTTCTGCAGTCTCTATTGCTTCTGAAATAGGGATGATTGATGTTGAAAYGATRAKGAATGCGATTGAAATAGGGGAATCGRAGGATAAAATGGGAAAAAAATCAGGATCGTATCCTCTTACTGCGATAAGAACGGGGATAGTTGCTGACCGATTGATGTCTGGTAAGAGGTACGATAAGAGCCTCTTTTTAGAATAAGTGGTTAGTAAACACTATATATCTTATTAAGGTAAGAGCCTCTTGTTCAATAAGCATCAATAAGAAGCAAGTAAACAGCCCCTTAGCATCGAGATGATATCTAAAAATTCACACATAATACTTTCTTAATTTATGATTTATTATCGATTATTATTCAACCGGTAAACAAGACCATTAAATAAATTCAAAATTTGTTATAAATCATTAAATAATAATTTTAAAAGTTGATTTTTCAAAACAAATATAAAATTAAAGTTGGTTCAATTTAAATACAATCTTTTTTTTCTTTCTTTTTATTGAACATTTATTTTCCAACCAAATTTTCTTAACAAAAGAAAAATATACTTGTTTTCCCTCCTCTTCTCTGTTGAAGAATATATCATTTTTCGATACAGATAAGAAACTTTCTGTGGTTTTTGACACAGTCGTTGGTGTTACGTCCATGGAAACCCACAAGGAGGAAGAAGAGGATCAGGAAGCGGTAAACTTCGGGAGATCATTGCTAGTACCAAGTGTTCAAGAACTTGCAAAGCAGCCCCTAACCAAGATCCCACTTCGATATGTGCGCCAATTTCATCACCAACCTCTCTCCGATGATACGACTCCATCTGTGCCGGTCATCGATCTTCACACTTTACTTGAAACCGCTTCTGGATCTTCAACGTACTCCTCTGAGCTCAATAAGCTTCATACAGCTTCTAAACAATGGGGTTTCTTCCAGGTCTCTCTCGATCTGTCATCCTTACAAATTACAAACTGTATTTGTGGTTTGATTGCAATTAATCCTCATAAAATCCAACACAATACCGTAATATGGTAAACAGACCAAATTTAGTGATTTCTAGTATGACAATGAATCGTGCAGTCCTCTGATCTGATCTTGGCTATATATAACTTACAAAATCAGTGTTCCTTTTACAATAGTTATAGACCATTGGAGTTTTGTTATTTGTGGAATTGGAACCCTTGGCTACCTAGAGACACCTAATTTTGAATACACACTGAATTCTTCTTGATGTGAATGTAACACTGTTTCTAGGATAGACGCAAGGAGGTCTACATGAGATGGACTTTGACATTGTGTTTATATGGTGTATTTAAAGCTATGTTTGGCAAACTATGATAAGCTAAACTAGTTGATAAAGATAGATGACATTGTAAAATGACTTAAAAACATGTTGAAAAATTAATTGGAAAAATACAAAGGGCATTATTGGAAAAAAAAAGTCTTTGAGCTATTGAATCGCTACTTGAATTAGTTCTAAGAAAAAGAAGGGTATTTTTTTCTTTCAATAAGCTCAAAAAATATGCTAGGTTATTGTCACAACTTATGTGAAGTTTGTCCAGAAAGCTGAAATGGTCCAGATAAATTAGGAGAAAAGAGGAAGCTTGGAGAAGGATCAAGAAGGAATTAGCAAGGATCAAGAGGAGCCTAACATAGCCGGAAGTATCCATGCCCTTGTAACTAGAAGCTTCTTTGCAAATATCTGGTAGAATGGTCTAGATAGAATTATGTAGATATAGGGTTGGAGCAGTAAGGCGATGGATCGTGTGAGAAGGAGAGTTGGACGACTTATAGTATAGGTCGGATGTTTCCGTGAGCAATAAGCAGCAGATCCCTTATTTTGGGAAAGCTGGTGGCCGCCTGTGAATTCTTTCAAGGCAAGGGGCGGCCTGATTCGACATTGTTGTTTACTCTAATCCAGTCGAGGTGGTTTTCACCGGCGCGTAGGTGGTCTAAGTTCACAGGCCCAGAGAGGTGAGAAGCGTGAGAAGGGATCTGGACCCTTGATCACCTTTAATCTCAAACCCATCCATGAATCATGCTTGATATGGGGATTGATCGGGTGAATCTCGGTGCATCTCATCCTAATATGCGTCCAAGGGTGGAGATCCCTTCTTACGCTTCTCACCTTAACTTTCCTTCTCATCGGAACCCAACCCTAGAGCAGTATAAAACTATAAATAAATGGTAATCCCTCATTTGTAAATCACTTCACAACTCCATAATCAACTCAATTGTAAAGAAGTTGAGTAATAGAAGAGTTAAAAGACAAGTCCTCTTTCTGCTACAAGGATAGAAAAAAGCCATTGTTCAGAGAATCTCCAACAAATATCCTATAATTTTTCTAAAATAAAGTGTCAAAAACTAAAATATCTAAAAGAATTTTACACTCAACTTTGACATCACTCTGTTTTAGCAATTCCAACATTAATTACATTATTAAAATATTTTGTAGGTTCATCATCCAATGCACTTATTTAAAAAAGTTTATAAAAAATTATAACACATTAAATCTCATGCAAAGGTCGTTTGAGAAGGAGAGTTAAGATGAGAAGCGTAAGAAGGAATCTGGACCGTTGATCACCTTTAATCTCAATCCCACTCATGAATCACGCCTGATATAGGGATTGATCCAGTGCATCTCATCTCGGTGCATCTCATCCTAATGTGTTCTAAGGGTGGAAATCCTCTTACGCTTCCCACCTTAACCCTCCTTCTCTCACCGGAACCCAACCTTTAATCTCATTGGTGGAAACAATTAAAATAATATATCTCTCTCCTCGATTAAATATTTCTCCAAATTTGGAGATTTCTGCCTTCTCTCTCTTCTTTTATCTATTTTAGCATACATTTTAGCCGTTGGAGCAAAAAAGGACTCCAAAATCTCTACTCTAACAGTTCTTGGAGATGCTCTGAATCCTTCAAAATGCCTAAAGCAACATTTTCCTTGGTGGTTAACACCTACTTTCAAGCTATCTTGTTATCACGGCGAAAATACAAAATTGCGGCCATGACCGATATTTGAAATAACGATTATATTGGTGGTATAACGGTTCATATTATGGTTTTAAAAATCGTTTGAGACGCCTCAAGGCGAAGCGGCCCAAACCGCACCTGAGGCGGTGCCTCTTGGACCCTGGATGAGGCTTATGCCTCGATTTAGTGAGGCGTACGCCTCAGATGATCCGCTTTAACGGTTTCTTTGACTTTTTTATAAGCTTTGTGGCGATAGTAGCAATTCTCTTTATAGTACAAGAGTCTTCTTTTATTTTAAAAAACGGAAAGTCAAAGCACAATGACCCCAATGTGCGTGTTTAATATTTTAAAACCCCAAAAGCTATTACTTTCTCCCTTCAATCAAAAAGTGTGGTTGGACCCTACCCCTTCCTCCAAGCAACCACTTTTTTTACATTCTCTCAGCCTATCTCACGCCAAAGCAATGCCTCTTAGTAATCTAGTATTATAAAATGTATATATATGTGTAGTACATATACATATTTTGATGTATATATATTTCCACCTCGTGCTTAGGCCTCGGACTGCCTTGAGGCTTACGCCTTGCCTCGTTGAGGGAAAACGTCTCGAGGCCCGATTCCGCCTTTTAAAACCTTCATATAGTATTTCTTAGAATTATATATATATATATAATATATATGTATGCATACATAAACAAGTTTCAACATCATAACATTAACTTAAACAAGTTTCACAAAACAAAATAGGAAAAGTGTTCATAAACTAGCTAATCGCAAGCAATAGGTTTAACATCCGAGTCAACATCATCTAATACGTTCACTTCTTCGTTTAGGCTATCTTAACATTATCTAATGCGTTCACTTCTTCGTTTAGGCTAGCTTCTGAATCTTCTTCTTCTTCCCCTTCATCTCCAACGTGATCATCATCATCCCCAAGTCAAAAACTCAAAATAAAAGCCAAAAATAACATAAAAAATAACGACATAGTCTAAAGAGGCCCAAGCTAAAATGTCGGAATATCGGTCCGCAATTTCACCTCAAATGGTGGTCAGTTGCGCCGCTAATATCGGAAACGCAATTTTCACCGCAATTTTACCTTAGTCCCCAATCCGCTATTGCACCGTTATTGCAGCGCTATTAACAGCATAGCTTTCAAGTGGTATTTACTGGGCCCGTTTGGTTAGGTTAAGACCCTTGTCACACATGGCTAACATTGGACCAACAGTGCAAAATCTTTGAGCTCTCCATCATCGAGTGCCTGATCTTCATCCAAATACATGGAGAAGGCAAGATTCACATACAATTCCTTGACAACAAGTCCTAAAACTACATGGAAACAGACTATTTCTACTGATTGTGCAATGGAAGAAAAACCGTGAAGACAGCTCCTAAAATAGAGCCTCGTTGAATACGACATTGTCTTAATGGCCTCATGGTTAAGTTGGCCTTGAATGGAGCTCATCCACTCCGTCTTAGTAAACCATGGGGATTTACTCTTTCTAGCATTTCCCTGTAGGATTTTACCATGAAAAGTACTTACTTGATGGAAGCTATATGTTTAGCAACATCATCAAATTTTTATATATGTTTAGTGTATAAAAGAAATGCCAGATATACGTACTAATATTATCTTGATTTTATCTTTATGTCTACTGTTCGACTGTAACTCAAAATTGAGTGACCTGCTTTAAGATAAGTGAACGCCACACATTGGGACCAAATGATGATGGTTTTGGTGTGATCCTTCAGTTGGCCTGTATAAAATGAATCCTAAAGCCTGTTAGCTGTTTGGGTGGTTCTTCATTAAGTCCTGTATGGATAAATCTGTCTGTGAGGATTAATCTGTCTGTATAATTGAGAGGGTTTTTGTTTGGGAGAGTTTTTCATAGATGGAATGAGCATGTTTTTTAATTGGGAATGACAGGTTAAGAAAAAACTTGGCTTTCTGCAAGTCCATTAAGCTCATTAGGCTGCTAACAAGCAGGCCCTTAGTAAACCTCTTGTTTTGTTCTCTGTGTGTGTGTATATATATTTGTGTTTACATGAGACATTTAGTTCATATGGTTGATAAAAACAGGTTATAAACCATGGAATAAGTGAGTCCTTGCTAGAGGATTTTAAGAGGGAAGTCTTGAACTTCTTCAAGCTTCCAATGGAGGAGAAACAAATGCTTTGGCAGAAAGCAGATAACCATGAAGGTTTTGGTCAGCTATTTGTTGTATCAGAGGAGCAGAAGCTTGACTGGTCTGACATGTTTTACATAACTACCCTTCCACACAATCTCAGGAAATCCCAACTATTTCAGAAGTTGCCTCTCATCCTCAGGTTCTCTCTCTAGTCTCTCCTCCAAGTCCAAGCTTCTGGTTTACAAGTTGTCACTGTAGGTTACATTTATTATTTATTATCTCTTATAATTCAAGTTTACAACTTATTATTGCGTGCCTATAACTTCTTAAAGCTCCACGTTTTTAAACTAATTGATAACCAACGTGTTCAAATAAAGGATAAGCGTAATCCTATGATTTTCTCTTTCCAAATCTCTGGCCAATTCAACATATTAACTTTGAATTTGTATATCAGCTGATTCCCAATTCAAAAACACACAAAACCATAAAATAAAATCCAGATAGACGGAGAATAGAACGAAGTATATAGGAAGCAGGATTGAGGGTTCAAGTTCTGAGCTTCAGAATCGAGATGCATTGCTTGAGTACACAACTAATTGGGTCAAAAACGTGTATCGAGTTCACATTGTGCGTTACATTATAACCAAGTAAAGAAGAGGAGAAATACCAAATGTGTTTCTAAGTTAGATTATTCAATATTTTGTTATAAGTTTGCACACTTCTTCACATCTCGGGGTTCTTCACCAAAACAACTCTACTTTGGGGTAGAGAACAAGTCTGTGTACTTCCACCTCCCCCAAGTGAGGCGTACTTGGTGAGTTCGGTTTGGTTTGGTTTTGGTGATGCTTATATAGTTGTTTCAATGCTTTGGAAAAAAATTGCAGGGAGAAGTTGGAAGCTTATTCTAAGGAAATGAAGAAGCTAGCAATGGCCATCTTGGGTCAAATGGCTAAGGCTCTCGAGATGGATGGAGATGAAATGAGAGAGTTGTTTCACGATGGTGTGCAATCAATAAGGATGAATTATTATCCCCCATGTCCCGAGCCAGAACTGGCTTTGGGATTTTCCCCACACTCCGATGCAGATGCTTTAACGATCCTCTATCAACTAAACCAAACAGAGGGCCTCCGAATTCGAAAAGATGGAAAATGGGTAGCTATTAAACCTCTACCAAATGCCTTAGTAGTCAACATTGGAGACATAATGGAGGTAATGACAGAATTTTTTATTCCAATGATTGTTTGTTTCAGTAAACCAAACCAAATCAAACAAACCGGGTATATCCCACCTGACAGCTGTATTCGTAGTTTCAATAAAACCAAACGAACCTTGTATATCCCACTCGAGAGCAGTACTGATAGTTTCCATATTCTCAATCTTTTTTTGTGTTTTGCAGATTGTAAGTAATGGCGTGTATAAGAGCATTGAGCATCAAGCAACTGTGACCTCAAATAACGAGAGGTTTTCGGTAGCAACATTCTACAGCTCCAATATGGGTACCGAATTAGGCCCTGCACGAAGCCTTGTTGCAAAACATAAAGTAGCTAACTTCCGGCGAGTCCCTCTTGAGGAATACATCAAGGGATTTTTTGCTCAGAAGCTCAATGGAAAATCATACCTGGATTTTATGAAACTGTAAGAAAACATTACTTATGTATATTTTAGGGGTTTGATTTGCAGGATTTGGTGGGATTTCCATTCCAATCCTGCGGTTTAAAAGAAAGCCCGGAATTGAAGTCCCAGGATTTCAATGAAATATCACAAACATGGGATTCAATGGAATCATGTTTTAAAATATGTTAAAAAACTTATTTTGGAATAATCAATTAATAGAAGATAATTTAATTATTTTATATTTTCTTGTAATTTGTTTTTATATATTATTTATAGAGAATGGAATTCAATTCCATTCGAAATCTTACATACCAAAAATTCCAAATCCTTTCACGATATCCAAATGTCTCAAGAACATTCCGTCAAACCAAACATACGCTAATGATGTTCAAAGAAAGATAATTTGACCAAGTTTTACATATGTAGTTTAGATAGCAATTGTTTGAAGAGCAAGGTTGCATAAACTCCACCACTTATGTTGATAAGCTCATCATGCCTGCCGTTCTTAGCAATAGCACCATTCTTCACAACTGCAATTATACCTTAAACGGTGGATATTTTATGAGCTACCATAACGGTTGTCCTTCCAATCATCACCGTATCTAATGCATCTTGAACTATGTGCTTCGACTCTGCATCCAACGCACTCGTGGCTTCATCTAGCAATAGGACTTTCGGGTCTTTTAGCATCGCCCTTGCGATCGCTATCCGTTGCTTTTGCCCACCCGACATTTGCTCACCTGAAACCACAACAAACCAAACGAACACAGTAAATTTCATACATAAATAAGATCTGGAGGTGAGATGTATGAAAACCACAAAGCATCAACAATTGAGGGTTTTTGAGAGCTTATTGAAAAGCTTCTTAGTCACATCACATTGTGAAAAAGCTCAGACGAAAAACACTATCTTTTCACTTGTAACCGGCTAACTGCACAAACTTCCAATAAGTTGTTTTGCTTGGCCACTAAGCGTGTGGGTCCTAGTTATTGAAAAAACCTCTCATGATAAAGCATACCATTGTGGATGTCTCTTACCTCTAGACCCCCAAAGGGATAGAGATGTTTCCATGAGGACCCCTAATTTGCAAAATAAATAAATAAAGAACAAGTGAGCAAGCTACCAGTGAGGGTGTGTGCAAACAAGCAATAAGACAATGCATTGGCATCTTATACTCCTCAACTCGGGTTGGACCTTCCTTGACGGGAGCGGGGTCTTGTGCTACCGCTCAACCTTAATTTGTAAGAAAGAATTTTTTTTGGTTACGTAAGGTGCATCCGCTAAAATTTGGGGTATGCTCTGAGATATTAGAGTTCTTGAAGAATTAAAGGTGTACATATGTCGAAACTTTTAAAAAGAATTGTTTCCCTCTCTTCTCTCACACTCCGCTACACACAGAGACACATCACATGTTTTAATTAAAGAAAAATAAAAAAATGAGGTGGGGAGTGATCATTGGTCTTGAGTCAAATGTCAGTAAGTCAAAAAAGGGTGTGAGATGACCCTTCTTTATTTTGTTCCCTCTCCAAACAAAAAAACAACCCCCCAGGTGATCCTGTTCGCTACCAGACGCTAATCGCTGCTCAACCAAAATCGCAACTGTCCACTGCCTCCGCCCTCCGACCACCCACCACATGGCACTGACGACTGTTCCTACTTTCGCTCAGCTTCTCAGGGTTCCGTCTCTCTCAACCTCTCAAGGTTTACTTCCCAAACCTAACTTTAAATTAACATTTTTCCTTGAATTTATTCTTGATGATTTTGCCCTAAATTTACAATGATATACAATTAGTCAATTATGATTTATGAAATATGTTTACATGATGATTTCATTGATTTGTTTAATTGTTACATGATTTATTTGTTTGCCCTTATTTGATATTAGTCAATGACCCTAAATTTGAAATTAGTTTTTGCCCTAAATTGATTAGTTATATCATTATGCAATTATGTTTATATGACTTCATTGATTTGTTTATATGATTTATTTGTTTGCCCTAAATTTGATATTTGTCTTTTGTCCTAAAGTTTGATTTTAGTCTTAGCCTAAATTGATTGATTAGTTATAATGTTATACGGTTTACATGATTTCATTGATATACTTACATGATTAATTTGTTTGTTTTGAGTTCTTATATTAGTCTTTACAAAAAAAAAACCTAAAAATTCTCTCGAAATCAACCAAAAAACCGAAAATTTCTAAAAAAAACCCAAAAAACCCCTCAAAATTAACCAAAAAACTTAAAGAAAACCTCAAAAGATGGAATTCGGGTAAAAGCACATCGAGCGGCTTTACGGACATTTAAAGATGCGCCCGTTCGACAAAAATCCTGGGTCCAACACTGCCTCACCTCTTCCACCAACTTTGGTGTCGTAACCATAAGGCAACGTAACCACAAGGGTGGCGCCTGATTGGTTTGAGCTTAGCTCCAAAGGTTAAAAATAACAGGAGTTCCAGGTTCAAATCCAAGGAGAAATAAAAATCCCCTTGTGGCCACAGAGATTCAAATACGGTGACTCCGGGCTATCTGCAAAGCAGATGGTCGCCCTGGGATTAGTCGGCTTGCATAACGGGTTGGATATCCAGGTTAATAAAAAAAACCATAAAGCAATGTTGATATGAAGTTGTAGGAGTTTGATGCTTTTGCGACTTTGATTATTTCTTCCTTGGTTGCACCTCCTTGCTTTCCATAGGTTATGTTAGTATGGATCGTCTCATTAAATAGTATAGGCTCTTGGCTTACTAGACCAAATTGTTGCCTTAGCCAGCTTATTTTCAACATTTGGATGTCCATGTCATCTAGGTAGATATGGCCCGAGCATGGATCATAGAATCGTTCAAGTAGACCTATGATCGTCGACTTCCCACTTCCATTCTCTCCAACGAGAGCCACAATCTACAAGAAACTTTGCAAGATTAGAAAACCAAACAGTTTGAGCCTTTGGTTCCCAAGGTTAAGGGTTGCTCTACGGCCATGTTTGGCAACCATAAGCTAAATTATAAGATAACTAAATTTTTAATCTTATTAAAAAACCCGGTTGGTTAGCCATAAGCTAGAGTAGATTATAAGATAACCAAATTTTTATGCTTAATGAAAAAGCCCCGTTTGGTTAGCCATAAAATAGTCTTTCGAAAAACTACTTCAAATAGTGTTTCAATAAGCTCCGAGAGTTATTTTCCCATTTTTTAGTTCCTTCTAATTACGCCCCTCATATTTTCCCAGGTAATTTATCAACATGTTCTTTTATTACTCATTACATTATCATTTAGTTTTTACGAAACGTGACCAACTATGAGCTAAAACTCAATTATCAGCCAACAGCTAGCTTCTCAACTAGTTTGTCAAACATAACCTAAAGACCGTTTACCAAAAATTGTACCCGGTAAGAGTCATCCTTCTCACTAACATTACCGTTTGGCCATCAAAATGACATTATGCAACAATATTACTCGGTAAGTGCTTACTTGTAAGAGTCGTTATCCTCACTTACTAGGTAAGACTAGTTCCTTGCCTTGCCTCTTTCCAAGTAAGATTCTTGGCCCTTTCCATGCTAATCAAGTAAGGTAAGTGACCCGTAACCTTTGGTAAATGTCCCTAAGGGGCTGTTCGGTTCATTTTCTGTTAGAGAACATGTTCGGAATAGGGCTTCGCCAGTTCTCATTGTAGAGTGGGCTTCCGGTAGCGGGGGTTCGGTGGTAGTGGTAGTGGAGTGGTAGAAGCTGGCCGCGATGGTGGTTCCTCGGCTAATTGAGCTTCCTACGAGGAAAGGCTTAGGTTGTGATGAATTTGGGGTTTAGGGTTTTGGAGAGAGGTCGCCGTTTATGAGTTAAGATCGACATTGATGCCATTTTTGAAGGTTTTTGCTGATCAGGTGCAGTCATATAGCTATAAACAGTGATTGGTGTTGCAAGGGTTCTCGTTTTAATTTGTCAAGGGTATTGAGGGAAAAGGGCCAGGTGAGTGTATATGACTATACTTTTGTAGCTGAGTGCTTGCTTTAGCTATCGGCTGCCCGGATAAGCCCATACCGAACAACTAGATATGGCTGTGTGAATAAGCCATATAACTTATACAATCTATTAAGCGGAAACCGAACAACCCCTAAGTCTTTCTTTGTGAAAGGAGAATGAGGCCAACTTCGTTGATATACTTAAACAATAGACCAAACAACAAAAGGAAGATATGTGAAGTCTTTTGATAAATGGGATACCTTTCCAAATTCTATTGTCAAAGATAAATCCCTGAAAAGTTGAATATCTGGCCTTGTTGGATACTTGAAACTCATATGTGAAGCTCAACATCACCCTTTACCTGATTCGATGCTATGCTACTTTTGATGCTCGAATTAATCTCGGGCTTACTGTCGAGAATCTCAAAAACTGAGACAATAGATTCCAAGCTTTGTTCAAATCAGAAAGCAGTATCGCTGATTGAGATAACCCCGATGATAGTGTTGACAAACAAAAGAAAACGTGAATTTGTTTTCAGTCTATATTAGAATTGTAATTGCCAAAGGAAGTATCCGTCCCAAAACAAGTGTCCACATTTCAATTTTAGTTTGTCCCAAAATAGCTGTCCACTTTCAAAAGTAACCACCTACTTTTCAATCCTACCCTTAATTATGAGAAAGAGAAATTCAATACTCCATCTATTATTAAGAGTAAAATTGTTATTCAGTTAATTAAAAAGACTGTGTGCCTTTTTCCATTGTGAACATTTATTTTGGAACGGAAGAAGTAACACTATTGATTTGAAGTTTGAAATAGTTACCCTGAAAATTTCTCTAAAGGTTATTGTTCCTGAAGAATAGATCCAATGTAGAAAAAGAAAGAAGTTGTGGAGTAGACGAAAGAACTGAGATCGAAACCCACACCATTTACAATCCCGCTCACATTTCTTTTTGTACAGGTTGATCACCTTCTCTTCAACATCAAAGGACGAAATGATTCTGACGTTTCCAACTGCATTGCTCGCACTTGGCTCGCTATTTCATACATCACTTTGGCGCGCCGACACTAATGCTTTTGTAAAATGTCATCTGAATATATCCATGCATACCAAGTAAAGGCAATAAAAATAGTATTACAAGTGCAAGTATCCAGTTGGCGGTGAAAGTTATCACCAGGCCAGTCACAATCATTGTTATGTTTGTACAACTAGTGCCAAAGCATCACCAACAATATTCCTCATCGTTGATGCATCCGTTGCTAGCCTTGCATCAACTGCACCGCTCTTTTATACATGGGAAATTTCTAAAATGTCAAAAGAGATACAAGAGGAACATAACCATTCGGGTAGATGTCACCCTCCG